TTATTTATTCATACAGAACTAGGGTACAGGCCAGAGATGCGGAGGGTGAGAGGATTCACCAGAGACAGAGCAGGGAGCAGGACAGGCAGATTGACAAAGCACACTGCTGAGGGGCTGAGGGGAGCAGCGGGCGGGTCAGGAGAGGTCTGCCGCGCCATGTGGTCACCTCCGGGGCAGGCGGGGATCGAACTCATGCGGAAGCGGCTTTAGCTTCTTAGTGCTGTGCTTTAACCCGCTGCACCACCAGGGAGGGCCCCTTCCCCCTTTTTTCAAGGGGAGCAAGGCACAGTCTCTTGCTCTCCCTTCTGACAGGAATCCCTGCAAACCAGGGAATCTGCCTTCAGGAGTCTCTCTTCTTTTCTTGACCTCCTGCCCACATGATTGTGGCCAAGACAAAGAGCCTTCAGTGAGCACTTCCAGCCCTGTTAGTACTTGGACTAACTCAGCCAGTCCCTGTAGCTCTGAAGGCCTATTCCTGTGTTAGCTCCATTTTTCAGGTGAAGAAAGTGGTTAACCGAGAGGGCTGGAGACTTGCCCAAGGCAGGAGAGCTTGTGATGAGCAGCCCAGCCAGGGCCTGCCCCGAAGCCCTGCCTGTGACTGCTGGTGCTGCGTCTCCCGCAGACGACTGTGCCTTGTGCTGGCCCCAAAGTCCCTCCTCGGGGCCTGGTGCTGTTCGGAGCGAGGGGTATCCAGCGGCTGGGTGGTGCTGGGCACAGACCCGCCTCCTGGACCCCTCTGGACTCCTCTCCGTGGCACTGTTTGCAGCTCTGGGTCTGTGTCTGACAGCTGACTGCTCTGACACACGGGTGCCCACCCTGCTGAGCCTCCCTGGCTGAGGTGCCTTCCGCTTGCCATCTCCACAGTCCATGCTGCTCCACCACCCCTGGCTCTGTCCCTTTGTGAGCCTGTGCCGCAGGGTCTCTTGGCCCGTACAGGTGAGCTGCTGATTCACCAGGTACTGACAGACGGACAGTCCAGCTCCCACTCCTGCCAGCAGCGCTGCGGCTGCCCTTTCCCTCGCCCTTGCCGTGGTGGTGGGCTGCGCTGAAGACGGTGAATGGCATCTCACATTGTTTGTCTGCATGTTTGTGGCTACTAGTAAGGATTAGCACCTCTTCTTTCTGTGGGGCATGTGCGTTTCCTGGGTTTGCTGCGGTGTGTGGTGATGCGTGTGGTATGTGTGGTGTGTGTGATGCGGGTGTGAGTGTGCATGCACACCAGCCTTTTGCATACAGTCTGGCTAGCGACCCTGTCGCTGAGGTCTTCAGTGTCTTCTCTCTGGCCTGTCTCTCAGCGAGTGGGAATCCTATTCCACCTGAGAGCTTTTGCATGAAGAGGCTTATTGAATGAGCCACCCTCCACCTTTTGTTCACAGTTATTCTGTATTTTCTTCTGTCAACTGGTAAGTTTCCCTTCCAGACTTAAGTCTTTTACCTGTTTCATTTTCCCGGAATGATGTAAGAGGAAGGGCTCCGACTTTATCTTTCGCAGTGATGAGTCCCGCTCCCAGTACCAGCGAATAGATGAAGAAAAACAACTCATCATATATGGCTCACTTTTACCATTTCCTAAGTTCCACGGATAAAAGAGTCCATTTCTCTGCTCATTTTCTTCTTCTATTGGTTACCCACTTGGTAACCACATGCCTTAATTACACAGGTAGACTAGCTGTTCAGGGACCTTTATTCTGTGTATTTCAGGGTTCATCAAAAAATAATCATATTTTTCTTGAAAAGACCTAGTAGATGTGTGGCTCAGTAATGTCTTTGCTGCTCTGTGGTCTTTGTTTACCATGCTCTCCTTAGCCCAGGCACAGTACCTTAAATATATGGTAGCTCAACAAAAAGATAGAACTGAACTCTTAATGAACTGACTATGATCTTTCATGAAATGATCTGCTAAAAGAGCTCCCACTTGAATTCGCCTTGTCTTTTTGAGCCAGAGGAGAGAGATGAAGAGAGCAGAGACCAGGGAGTTCACCCCTTCATGACAGGGACAGCTGTGGCTTAGCTTTTAATTCTTCTAATTACTGAGATTGGCGGCTCTTGGCTCTTGAATGATATTAGGACTGCATGGTTTTAGAGGTGGGTGCAATAAGAACCAATAACATAAAAACCAATAACTGAGCTCCTAAAGCAATTTCAAGAGAATATTTGGAGCTTAGACCCAAAGACAGAGAGGAAGTGTGGTGGTCACCAGTTCACTGCCGGGAATGGCACCTACCTCTGCAGAAAAGTTTGCCACCGAAGAGGGGAGGTGCCCTCCAGTGGCTGTGAACCCACACAACACCATGTGGCCTTCAGCCCTACCTGGAAGCACTTCCTGGTGCTTACAACATACAAGGAGGCTTCTGTGAATTTCACACATAATAATAATGGCCTCTGAGACAGGTACTTACTGCCCCTGTTTTAAAGATGAGGGAATTGGGGCTCAGAGGAGTTAGCAATACTGTGTTGAACTCTAGATTGTGTGTTCTTGAATCAGTATGTTCAACCATTTCTGTGATTTTGCCTGGAAGGCTGAGGAAGTGGCGTGTCTCCCCCCAGGCCCCTCTAAGTGACATCAGGTTGATGGTTTGAATTCCATCCTGGTGGGGTGATCACCCAGTAGAACTCAAAAAATTCTACCCAAGTGTTTCGTTCTTCTTTCCTTTCATTCATTCATTATTATTATTGTCTTCTCCAGAGAGCCTCTTTGCCAACATACTGAGGGTGAGAAAAAATTCAGGGACTCAAGGGAGGACAGCATTCTTAAGGGAAACCCGAAAAGGGATTTGGAAAATATTGAAACTCAGTTTCTGAGAAAATTTACGATAATGAAATCTTAAGATTTTTAATTTATTTTAATGTTTTATTAGAACAGAAACAGGTAGTTTATGATGAGTGGGAACTCCTTACACTAAGGAGTTATTGAGGCCTAATATGAAACTGCTTGACGGCTTCATGTGAAAAGAAAAAGCAGTTTCAGGTCCCCACTGCTCAGCACCTTCAGGCGCCAGAGACTCCAGTGAGCGCCAAGCAAGCAGAGCCTGACCTAGAGGAACTGCAGCTAACCAGAGCCGCCTGGGCCCTCCCCGGTGGCGCAGCAGGTTAAAACAGAGAAGGGGGAACAGGAATCTGCGTCAAGCCCCTGCTCCTCCAAACATCTCTTCCACCAGGATTGCTTCAGATTTTCTGCCCCCTCCCCCCTGGCTTAAACCTCATTGTTGGAAACGAACTTCAGAGTTTCTTTTCCTTTATTCAGTAGCTGTTTCTGCCCTGGAAGTTCAACACAAAGGGTCCCTGGGAGAAGAAAGAGAACTCCTGCCAAGTAAGCTCGAGAAAAGCAGGGACTGGAATCTAGCAGCCCCACCCACCCCGAACCCCAAGCCCTGAGGCACCTGGCTGTTTGCCTGCTCATCATCTCAGAGCCGGGCGCCCCCTGCCTGTCGGGGCTGTCAGACTGGAGTCCTGTGGAAAGCTGCTCCCCTTCGCTGCCCCACAGGCCAGGGCCTGTTCAGCGTGACTTTGTGGGAAAGCGGCCTTCACGCGGTAACTCTCACCCACCCCGGGGTCAGCACAGACATGTGGAGTTTGCAGAGTGGGTCCCTAGGACCTCAGTGCAGGAAAACCCCAATCCCTCACCTATTTCCAAGAAGGCTTCCTAGAGCCAACCCATTCAAAGACAGGATGTTCTGGAAGCTTACATGGTTTTTGCAGGAAGAAAAAAGAAGGGGAGAGGGAGGGAGGAGGGGGGAGAGGGCTGACTGGGAAGCCACACCTAGTGGAGGCGGGGCAGGAGGCACCTCCGGGGACAGTGTGGCTGTCCGGTCCGAAGCCTTTACCTTGCTGCCCCTTTCCGCTCCTGAGAAGAGACGCGCAGCGGTCTTGGTAATCAGCACAGAGCGGGAGCGCGGGCGTCACCGGCTCACTCATGTTCCTGAGTTCTTGACTCTGCTTTTCTCTGTGGCCACCTGGGTGTGCATAGTGCAAGCACATGTTGTTTGGGAAGAAAGGCATATTCTCTGTTCTTTTGGAATTAGCTTGAAACCTCGAATCTAATTTGTCAGAATATCACCCTTACGTAGTCTATAAAGAAATGCCACTCAGGAAAACTGTGAAGGCACAAATAATTCCTTCCTAGGCAGCGAGTCCCAAGCTGTCCGAAATACAAAGGGATGTGTGTGTGGGGAGGGCCAAGAGTGAGAGAGGTTTTGCAGCTAGTGGATGCTCAGGGACTCTGCCGGTGAGCCCCAGAGCTGACACCTCAGTCTCTGCTACTGACCTTACGAGATTTATTTTGTA